TCCTCCAGCTCCACGCCCGGGGGCGGCGCCACCGCGGTGTGCCCGTCGTCGTGTTACTGATGATAGGTAACGCCAGCCACACTGCTAACCGTAACTAGGGCTGGGCGGTTTTCCGGTTAACCGGTTTCCCGGTTCGGTTTTTTTCCGAACCGGCATGCCGGTTCAGAGATGGGCAAAAAACCGGTGCACCGAAAACCGGAAGAGAACCGGTTAACCGAAAACCGTTCGCGAACCGGTTAACCACCGAACCGGTTCCGTATCAGAACCGCGGTTTTGATTTAATCTCTAATTCTACTTTGCTTTTAATTAAGCGACAAATATATGAGAAAAAGCCCTAAAATAGACGGTTCTGTTTAAAAACCGGTTTTTAATGTGTAAAAACCGGTTTTGGGAAAAAACCGGTTCGGGTGAAAAAAGAAACGGTTCAGGAAAAACCGGTTTTTTTCGCCAATCGGTTAACCGGTTCGAAAAAAGGTTTTTTTCTGAACCGGAAACCGGTTCACAATTTCCTGAACCGCCCAGCCCTAACCGTAACGAGCGTTACGTGACGCTGGACGCTGGCCCCGCCCCGGGGCAGCCGTGTCGCCGGCCGGCAGCGAGCTAGGCGGCGCGCGGGTGGCACCTGCGAGTGGTGCTCGTCCACCTGCCCGTGAGCATGCCTGCCTGTGTCTGGCCTGTGCTGACGCCTGCGTGTTTCTCTTGTTGCAGTGGGCGGCTTTGGCGGGTCTGGAGGCTACTCGTCCTCCGGGTCCTCCTCCTCGTCGTCGTCCAACAGCTTCGGCGGCAGCATCGCGTATAGCACCCAGGACGGAGGCGCCTACGACTACCAGCCACCCCAGCAGCCCCAGCAGCCGCAACAACCGCAGCAGCCGCAGCAGGGCTACGGCGCGCCCGCCCCCGCACCACAGCCCACGTACAATGCGCCCGCGCCCCAGCCCAGCTACCAGGCCCCGCAGCAGCCGTCCTCCGGCTACGGGGCACCTCAGCCGGCACCGCAGCCTGCTTACAGGCCGCCCGCTCCAGCTCCCCAGCCGAGCTACCAGGCCCCCCAGCAACCTTCCAGCGGCTACGGCGCGCCCTCCATCACCCCATCCATCCCCATAGCCTCGTTCACCATTCCGCCCAGCCGACCATCGCCGCCTGCCACCAGCTACGGCGTGCCTGAGCAGCCCGCCCCCGTGCCTCAGCGCCCCACTACCTCGTACGGAGCTCCTGCGCCACAGTCCAGCTACCAGGCTCCTGCACCTCAACCCAGCTACCAGGCTCCAGCTCCCCAGCCCAGCTACCAAGCACCGGCTCCTCAGCCCAGCTACCAAGCTCCTCAACCTAGCTACCAGGCACCAGCTCCTCAACCCAGCTACCAGGCTCCAGCTCCCCAGCCCAGCTACCAGGCTCCGGCACCTCAGCCCAGCTACCAGGCACCCCAGCAGCCGTCGTCCAACTATGGCCCCCCATCCAGGCCGCAGCCCCCCTCAACTAGCTATGGAACTCCGGTGCAACAGACCTACTCGCCACCACCAAGACCTCAACCGCAGCCCAGACCCCAGCCGCCATCGACCAGCTACGGCACTCCGGCGCAGAGTTACTCCCCGCCCTCGCAGAGCTACGGCGCCCCAGCCCAGCGTCCAGCACCCCAGCCGAGCTACCAGCCGCCACCCCAACAGCCATCGTCCGGCTACGGCGCCCCCGCCCCTGCCCCCCAGCCGAATTACCAACCGCCTCCAAGGCCTTCCTCCAACTATGGCGCACCAGCTCCTCCTCCTCAACGACCTTCATCAAACTACGGCGCGCCTGCCCCCCAGCCAAACTACCAGCCGCCACCTCAGAGGCCTTCGTCTAGCTACGGGGCTCCCGCACCTGCACCACAAAGGCCGTCCTCCAACTACGGCGCTCCCGCACCTCCACCTCAAAGACCGTCTTCGAACTACGGCGCCCCGGCCCCCGCCCCCCAGCAGAACTACCAACCGCCCCAAAGGCCATCCTCTAACTATGGCGCACCAGCTCCTCCGCAACGACCCTCATCAAACTACGGAGCACCGGCCCCACAGCCAAGCTACCAGCCGCCACCACAGAGGCCCTCATCTAGCTACGGTGCTCCTGCACCCCAGCCGAGCTACCAGCCACCTCCTCCCCCTCGCCCTTCGTCCAGCTACGGCGCCCCCGCCCCGCGGCCTCAGCAGCCCTCGTCTAGCTATGGAGCCCCAGCACCTCAGCCTAGCTACCAGGCGCCAGCCCCACAGCCCAGTTACCAAGCGCCAGCCCCACAGAACAGCTACCAGGCGCCAGCCCCGCAGTCCAGCTACCAGGCGCCGGCCCCGCAGCCCAGCTACCAGGCGCCAGCTCCACAGCCCAGCTACCAGGCACCTGCCCAACAGCCCTCACAGAGCTATGGCGCGCCTAACAGAGTGCCGGACACTATTCCTCAAAAGTACGACAGCCAAGGAGGATATGTTTTCTAAATGACCTAAAGGGAGTCCTTACCCACCGTTAATGTATTTTTTGTACATATGTAAATGACAAAAAAATCTCAGTTTTAGTTCACTATGATGACCTTTTAAAAAGAAACAATTTAGATTTGTAAGGACAAAATCTATTTTAGCTCACTGCAACATTGAAACAAAAAGTTACCATTTGCTTTATTTATTAGCGGGGCCAATAATTTATGAGAGGGAAAGCATGTGGCCGGCCTATGTTGTTAAACTGTTAATTCAAAGCTGACAATGGCTGTCGCCATACTTGTCGTTTTTAGTGATACGCTTATTTTGTCTTCTAATACGAAATGTTTAGGTATGAGACTGACGTCGTATTTGAAATTTGTTGTTACCATTTCTCAACCAAACCCACTAAGAAGTCGTATCTGGTCGTTTTAAGTTACCAGTTCTTGGATTCTTGCCAATCCTCTATTTATGAAATAAGTGAGAAAGAGAAGAATGCATGTCTGATGAGTGCGTGTTTGTGAATGTCCGCGGTATTTGTTCAAGTTACCATGTTCCCATTCACATTTTTGTGCATTGGAAAGCAATAAATATTTTTGTAACGAATAGTTTATCTTCTTGACCTCGTTAATCCATAGCCGAAGTATCATCATAATAATGCATTTGAGAGGTTCAATTCAATCTCAGACCATGATTTTGAACTTTATTGTACAATGACTCCCCACAGGCTAGTCATAAAACTATTCATTTTGTTTTTATTGCAACGAGTTTTATATTTTACCCGATTCACAATGTCTATTACGAGTTAATTTTCATTTACATAAATATACACAGAAATACACAAATATAACAATTTCCAACGATACAGATCTTACAGAAAATTGAAACGAGAGAGTCATTTCACGTAATGTTGCCACATATATGAAACATACACGTAGAAGTTAGATGTACAACTAAATACTTACATATGTTTATTACTCGATCGGTCAGCAGTGTTGTTACTATCGTGAAGTTCAAAACAAATCTCACTTCGCAGATCAATAAGCATGATATGTCTTTTTAAGGATATGTAAGTATATGGACCGGTATTTTCACTAGAAGTCGCGTTTTACAAAGCATTTTAAATATATCACACAATTTAATTTGTGAACCATGATGCCTAGATGATAGTTCTTCCCATGTACATACATGGACACAACTACACAATATTCATAAGGGGGTGGATGTGATGACGATTTACTTTAACAAGGTACAGTTACCAGGCGATATGTGCGTTCTTTGAACCCAATATTTTTGTTTTTCACAAAGCTTATTTCCCCTCCGTTTGCGGAAACTCAGAACTTACCGAACCATATTTCTGTAGATACTGCTTAAGCTCGCGAAAATACGCTACCAACAATTATTCTAAAATGTTAGATGGGTATTTTTAACAAGTTCTCTTAATTAGAGGGAGAAATTTCTTATGCTCGCCCCCAAAATTCTGGATTTGCCATTTTTTTTTTCGATTCTTACTTATATTAGGCCGCAATAGGCGATTATGGGCGATACCACAAGTCATGGTCGGTGTCGGGCAATTATTCATCCTATTGAATTCCAAGTTATGAAGTTTTTAACAGGCACCGGCTTCAACTCAATTGTTAGAGCACGAAACATACTGGTGACCTGTGAATTCACGGTAAATCGTTGTAATTAATAACTGTCTCTCAAGTTACTTGAATCGTGCCAAGCACAACCTTCTACACTTACATGCAATTAAACGTTCCAAGCGGAATCATGAGAGCAAGGGACGCGAGACGTTGCTTGATGCACACGATGCACACTTTTTCCGATACGGTATCATAAAGACAAACGGCCAAGCCATGAAACGTTAATATAGTCGAACTTTGTACGATACGCGCAAATGTAACAAGACGGGAGAATTAGTACAGTCTACAGATACGGCGATGAGAGACAAAATATTGAACAAAGATAGGGTATTTATCTTTCGTAACACCGGCATGGCAGTGCTTTGATGAACTACCCCTTCGCACATGCCTGCATATCTGTAACGCAGACGTCCACCATAAATAAAGTAATGAGAATGAGGAGCGTCTGTCGCTCGCGTGCAGCTGCGCTCCGCCGCCTAGAAATCGTCCAGAAAGTACGTCTTTTTCTTTATCTGATCCATTCGGCAAATTACGGGAGCTCGGCGCCTGCGAGACGCAGACTAGGCCACCCTGCAGTACATACGTGCGTTGCAGACAAGATGTTGCCTACCAATCAGGCGCTATGGGGGCTTTATTCGTCTGTTATTCGCAATTTTGTAACGGTAAATGACGAACGCACTTTCTGGGTGATCCCTAAGGGTGGGCCGAGTGGAGCCGAGCCAAACGGGGGTGATTTAAGTTGGCGTTTTGGACTTTAGACCATCACACCCCTCCCGGAAACAACAGTAAGAGGAACTCTTCTTTTGTCTGCCAGCCCTAAAGAGGAAGTGAGTGTTTGGCATGGCCATTTCATAGGGTGAGCTTTATAGCAATTCCGAAGCATTACTACGTCCATCCATATTTCTATAGACCACATTTAATACTGAGAAATAGAATACATCGTGCTCTTCAGAGAGACAAGATGATAGTATAATTTGGGCGGCAGAGAAAGGGCCTTTACACTGTACCAGTAACAAAATTCGCGCTGTATTTACAATTTCTGTTCTATACTTTAGTGTATCTTTGATAATTTCACACATAGAATTAAAATATTGCATAAATACTCTAATTTCCATAACAACGCACGCATTTAAACAAAAATACAGACCAACAACAGAATAAACTACACTCGATCAACGAGTCAACCTCTATCTTTGAAAATTATCACTCAATTTAGAACAATAAATCTTAGTTTATGCAAACATGGCGCAAACAAGTGAAAAACACAGCCTTACTTCGTGGTATGTGACCTGTATCCCGTCATTTCATGCAAGGATTCTAAATCTCCCGTAAGGGAAATATTCAGAATTCCATACGTTCATTACATATCTAACGGCCTCTCTGGAATCTAACGGCAGGAAGCACACGTGTCACAGTCGAATCCTGGGCCAGAGGAGCCGGTAGATATGTCTACCTATTTACAATTGCATACCAAAATAAACACGACACGATGCGTAGCCTTCAGAGAACATATATTCAACAAGTCGATCAAACTTTACCCACAGCACTTTTTTTTTACTTTCTGAATAGTCTGTAGCGCCGCTATTTGGACTCAGGCCGTTAGTAACACTACCCTCGTGTAGCGCCGGGCTGGCTGAGCGCGTGCCTGCTGGGAGCTGGGGAGCGCCTGCAAGCTGCTGCATAGGCAACTCATTCGACACCAGGCCGCCGCACCTGACTTGACCGCCCTTGTTTGCACGCTCATTTTGCATGTTGTCCTAAAATCAGTTTTTATTTATTTTGAACGAGCCAGCCTCATATTTTTCATTATTTTTTCGAAATAGATTATATAGTGTCCTGATATATTTCATATAAATGATCCTCTCATTTTCTTTAATCTATCAGACATAAAAATATGTACGTTTCTAGGTAGACGTGAGGTTTTCTACCCTACACACCCCCTACACATCAATAAGCTATTTCAGCCTTATATCCTAGTTAACGTGGTTAGGGTCAGTGCTAACATTTTGCGAATCATCGTCCTGACGCTTCAACGAAGTCCGCGAATGGAAGTTCTAGCGTCCTCCGAATCAAAGCGGGTTGTTTATAGCTAACACATCACATTATTTTGAAGCAACTAAATCAATTTACTCTTGCTTCAATGCCTAAAACACAATTTAAGCATTCTTATCTCGGCCTAATACTTTTTAAAGACTCCACTTTCGCTCTTTCCGAGTCGAGGAATGGCACTAAAAAACTACTCGACAACAAAAATTGGAAAACATGAAAGGTTTTGAAAATGTTTTAACTAATCAATGAGTTTTGTTGATAGAGGTAACTGGATTTCTTTGAGAGATCGAAATGCGGGGAAACATTAAAAGTATTTGAAACACAGTCTAGTCTTGGTCATGGTATTATTGCCGAGAAGTTTTTTAGTTAAAACGCGAAATTTTCTCAAAGATAAATTGTTAAATTCCAAACTGTTAATTGCTTTAACGACTAAATCCCGCATTATTGAAATCTTTTTTGAAGAAAACAGCTGCTGTATCGGCGCTGATTTCTTTTCAATTTTCAACACAGAATCCAAGTTAATATCATTTTTATCGCGGCGGTCAAACACAAGAAATGGAAACACAATATATGCTATGGAATTCTACTATACGTATTACACAGATTGAGCACGAAATGCGTTCCAACATAAGCTTCAAGCCCCGTGACAGACAACATTTTTTGTACTTTTATAAATTATCCCTCCCTTAGAAGTAACGCCCCCAGGAGGCGAGGTAACCGTTACCGTTCCTCGAGAGCCGCGCACTAAACACTGGGCTCGAGCCGCGCCTCCGTCGTCCCGCTCTAAAATGCGGTGTCCCCGCGCCTGCCGGCCGCCGTCGGCACGCCGGCCGCCGAGGGCACGACGCCGGGGACACTCGCCCTGCCGCCGCCGCCCCGGGACCCCTTCCTCATCTGCTCCAGCTCGGTGGCGTCTGCGTCGTCGTCTATCTCCAGGGCCGGGTTGAAGCGGCCGTTGCGCTCGTCCGGGCCGACCATGGTGGCCGCGCCGTACAGCTGGCCCATCGCGCCGGACGTCATCATGGCCATCTCGCCCTCCAGCGGCTCCCCGACGCCCAGCCGGTCCTCGGGGATGTTCACCACGCACTTGAACAGGTCGTAGCCCGGTGCCAGCCGGCCCTCCTCGAAGAGCCACCTGCACAGAACAACATGGGGTGATACACAGTGCAACACGCACGGACAGTCTGCTCTTTAACACCCGTCTCCAGCTACGCGACTAACGTTCTCGACGATAGGCTTACTTTGATAGCCTGGTGACGGCGTACAGGGTGAGCAGAGACAAGAGCATAGCCAGGGTGCGGAAGGGGAAGAGCTGCTTGTTCGCTGCGGCGTCGTAGCCAGGGAAGTGGATGAGCGCGGGGAAGCCCATGATGGGCTCCCCGCCCGACAGGCGCACCAGTAACGCGACGATGTAAGCGACCAAGGAGCCGTAGGTGTTGCAGTGGTGCGGGAAGTGCACCACCATGAGAAGTTGCGGGAACAGGATCACGTACACCAGGTCGGAGCACATGGACCTGGTAAAAGAATAGAAGAAAACGTTTGTGATGACGGCCGTATGTGAGTTTTTTAGGGCGTTAATAAAGTCACCGTAAGTTGCCGAAAAAAACTTTTCCATAGCAACAGGGAACAAAAGATAATAAATCTACACTGTCTGTAGTTTCCCCAAGTCTTCCCATCGTCATTTAGATCGTACAGGGTGTGGGCGGGTGCTTGCCTACTCGCTCGGGGCCTTAGTTCTAGACGATTTACCAGAGTCCGTAGATCGAGGGGATGGTGAGCGCCATGACGGTGGCCATGATGCCCACCACGCCGATGCCTATTCGCATCACCCAGATGATCTCCATCTCTGACGCCTGCAACAAACGAGCCGTCGACAAGCGTTACTCATGAT